ATTTTTTAAAAGTGTAATTATATTTTCATGAATATTATCTAATAAATCATCTATTATTGAAATTTTTATAATATAACAATAATATTTAGTAAATACTAAATTTCTCTAATTTTTTTTGATAAATAACTAAAAATCAATACTATTTTTAGATTATTATCTCATTAAAAATATTTTTAATAAAAGATAAATTAAAAATGTTAAAGTATTTACTTTTATTACATCATCTGAAAACAAATAATCTCTTATAGATTTAGTTGTTTTATAAAAACTTTGAATTTACTAAATATATTATTATACTATGATATTTCTAAAAACCTTTGTTAAAAAGTATTATTTGATAATTATATTTGGTAAGTCATTGTTGAATATAGTCAAGTTTTATTTTTGATCAAGTAGGATCATAATTTTATATATATGCATTTTGTTTTTGAAGAGTATGATTAATTTTGGTAGAATTTATTTTCATGTGAACTTTTGCATTTGTTTTAATCAAGATAGATATTACATTTTCGATATCCAGAGCAAGTTCTAAGCTTATATTAGCTTAGTATTTTTTGCATCACCCAATTTGTATGATATTTTTTAATTTTGATATTTTACTATTTTATGAAATTACAATCTTTGATTTTATTGGTTAATTTAAAAATCACGATTTTCTGATTTTACATGCTCAAAATTTACTCGAATACAGATTTTTGAAAAGTGCCGACCTTTAATAATTTTGAAGCAAGCATAATTTAAGTCAACATCATAAAATCACACAATAACATAAATCTTAACTTTTTCTATAATAGTACAAGTTGGATTTACATTAGAAAAGTTATTTATTAATCTTAGAATGAATGGAGTTATACTATATGATAAAATGATTCTTTTCATCAACAGCAGCTTATTTAATGTGAATACGATTATTAAATTTATTATTCTTGTTTAATACATTGCCAGAAATCAGATTCAGAATTTAATTTTAGTTTTTGAAGTTATTAGAATTAAAATGCATTAAGCACTTGACTTTAGTCCAAAATTTCTCAGAACCTGATTTTCCTAGCAATCATAATTTTTTGTAAGATAATGATTTCTAGCATAATAAAACCACCTCGTTACAAAGACTGACAGAAAAAAAATTGTATCACATCCGGTTTTTTCTTTCTATTTAAAACATATACATAATAATTTTTAAGCTAATTGCGATTCTATAGCTTCTAATCTAAAATGAAGACTTCTATGTTGTTCCTTAATATCATTTAATCCATACAAAATTCTTCTAAGCATTTGCTTTTCATCTTCGGGAATAGGTAAACCCGGTAATTCTCTCAAGTCCAAATCTCTAGCCTCTTTATCTTGTTTATCATTAACAAAATGTGTTTCAATAAAAGCAAATCCAATCATTGGAATAAAAAAAATAATTCTTGTTAAAATTTTTTCAATATTTGCATATAAACGTATATGATTATGTCCAATAATAATACTTAATGAACTTATTGGTAGAACGAGTGTATAATATAAGAGGTTAAATGGCGACGGATAATTGTATCGAGTTGGTTGATTGTGTTTTACTTTTCTTATGACTATATGTGCGAAATGTGCTAAATATTCTTCGGGGACTGAACGTCTAGTAGCAAATGCCGTCATAAAGAGTGGAAGCAAGACGGCAAATAGAATAACACTGACTGTAAAAACATAAACAGAGTATAATACGAAGCCAAATTTATTCTCCAATTTGCTCGCGGCCGGGAAATCCGGTGCACTATATATATTAGAATTTTTTTTTTTTTATTATTTATAAAAAAAAAAAAAAACTATATAAAAAATTGAAATCGCTTACTTTAATATTCCCTTGATCAAAAGTGCGAAAATTCCCCATTCATTTTTGTCACCTAAATGATCATCATCTCCTTCATGACGTTTATGAGTGTTTTCAAGCACCAAAAATGATTGAAAGAATGCAATACATGCTAAAGCTAATAAGATATAATATGACATGCTCTTCTTTAAGATTCTTGAAATTTGTGTCAACCATCTTCCAATTGGTTGAAATGCTTCCAAAGTTAAAAGAACACGCCAGTATAGGAATATAGGAACTAATGAGAGAGCTTTTCTATGGAATTGAGGAATATAATGATCAAAACTTGTAACATGTTTAATTCTAAGCGCAAAGTCGGTAGCTAAAATAACATGAAGAATAAGAGAAAGTATTCTTCGAAAATATAAGAATTCTTTAATCCCATGTTTTTGTAGCTACAAAAAAAATAAAACAAAAAAAAGAAGAGATTATCATAAATTCTGAAAATAAGCGCAATTGTCGTAAATTTTAGAACGATAAACTTACTGTCCGAATATCATTTAGTATAAAGGAAAAGACTAAAAGATACATAGATCCTTCCAAAAAGCTATTAAATTCACGTATTTCGTTATAATTAGCCGCGACCATAGTATAAATTATCAAAAACATAATATATGAGAAAACGTCAAGTAAATATTGATTCCTGGGAATATTTAATAATTCTAAATTCTTGAAGTTTTCCAAGAAATTTAGATTATGATTTGGAATGTAATAATCAATTACGGCCAAAATTGGAAATGTACGAGAAATTCGTGGTACTAAGTGACCAGACCATAATGCCTAGGTACGAAAATATTAGAAATAGGAAGTCCAAAACATTATAGCTCGCAATACTTTAGATATTTACATAAACGCACGCTTGAACTTCATTATCAGACAAGAAAATTGCGCCGCAATTGCCCATTTCGGAATAAAGCCTTGTTGCGAGATCTAAAGCTATATGAAAAAATGGAAATGAGTTATTCTTTGAAACATGGAATTGGGCGAGATGACTTAATAAATACCATTTTTGCGGTTGCTGATTTCATCATATTGTGAGAATGCGTATCGTTTAGTCAGTACTTTTGTGAATAAAAGATCCTGGTCATTAAATTTATGAACCCTTTGAAAGATCAATAATGGAATGGATTTTTCATGGATGTTGTCAGTTATGGCAAATAAACTTAAATTTACAACCGTTTTTTACTTACAATTCTCTAGCTAATAACTCGCTACATTCAATCCTCTTTTTTCTCATATCCCTCAAAGCTGGACCAACACTATCACCTTCATGATGATCTATTTCTTGTAAACCTCTTGCATAATATAATGTAACGAAAACCATATTCGGATTACGTTTGCAACTCTCGAACACATAATCAACAACCGGCTCAATTACAATACCTTCGGCTACTTTAATCGCACCCAAAGGTACTAAATTTCTTATTACATCACGAACGATACTGAGATTTTCATTTATTTCTTTAAACTCGTGATTTGCATCGCCATTAAAAGATAATATCAATGAGTCATTATCGTTATTAGGGGATCGTTCATTTTGTGACATGATTAAAATTGTAAATTGAAGTTTTTTCCCTATTGCTATATATTTAAAAATGAATTAATATCTTTCATCATCATGATGTATTAATGACGCGAACTTTATTAATTATACGCCATGTCACGGGTCAATTTGTGTTTTACACAAAAATTATAAATATTTTCTACAAAAAAAAAAATATTTGATAATAATCCGGTTGAATCATAGCCTCCTTCTTAAAGCCACAACTTTTTGTTTTTAAATTGTATATCGAAATGTGAAATCATAGAACGATGGTTGATTTTCATTTTACATGTAACCATTGTACAATAATTTTACAAATATGTATTTTTTGTAAATTTACAAAGAGATAATTGTATATTTTTTTTTTTTATTTTTTATTTTTTGTAATTGTAATATAATAAAAGACGAACAATGCCACCACCTACAAATTCTTGGCTTTCTCACAGAAACTTTGGAATTGTTATAGACGCTGGTAGTTCTGGTTCAAGAGTACAAATTTATTCTTGGAAAGAACATGGGTTTGTTAGACAAGTAAAAAATGCAGGTGAACTTCACATCTTACCAGCTATTGAGCGAGGGGATGAGTTTGGACTTAAATGGCAATTTAAAGTTGAACCAGGTATGAACGTTCTGTCCTTTTTCTTTCATCTCTTTTTTAACTTTTGGTTTCGCTTTTAATTAAATTCCAACTTGTGATCCTCTTTCTTAGAAAGTGAAAAAATTATTCGTACAAAAAAAATTTCTCATCACATTATTAATTTTGTACATCCAATTATTTGATCTAATTTTTGTACAGGGATATCTACGTTTGCAACGAATCCAACAGAAGTGGGAGAATTACATTTGAAAAAATTATTAGATTTCGCGTTGCAAGTAGTACCATTGAACGAAATTTCACAAACCCCTGTATATTTATTAGCCACTGCTGGAATGCGGTTATTACCATCATCTCAACAACAAGCGATTCTTCAAAATGCATGCGATTACATAATGTTTAATTATGTCTTCAAAATTGGTAAATGCTCAGATCATGTACAAGTAATCTCAGGAGAATGGGAAGGAATTTATGGGTGGATAGCAGTTAATTATCTGATGAGTGGATTTGAAAATGACGGTGGAAAAGAACATATAATTCAATCACGACAAAAAAATGATTTAGGAAATTTTGATGATGATTATAATTCAGAGAAAATTAAACACACTACAACATTTGGTTTTTTAGATATGGGAGGCGCTAGTACACAAATAGCTTTTGAACCAAATTCATTAGAGTCAAAAAAACATGCGGATGATTTAACTAAAGTTACATTGTATACTTTGGACGGTGAAAAAGTAGAATATAATGTATTTGTTACAACATTTTTAGGATTTGGAACTAACGAAGCAAGGCGTAGATATATAGAGGATCGTATTCAAAAGTACACAGCAACACATGAACAGATTACTAATCCTGAAACGTCTCGCGAGCAACCGACCGTTTTAATTAAAGATCCATGTTTGCCAGTTAATTTACTTCTCACGGATACTTCACTTCCACCTCCTTATTATACTCTTCAAGGGTCAGGCTCTTTCAGTCAATGTCTTGAACTTACATATCCTTTATTAAATAAAACTGCACCTTGTCTAGACGATCCTTGTTTATTCAATGGCGTTCACACACCAAATATTGATTTTTCCGTCAATCATTTTGTTGGTATATCAGAATATTGGTATTCATCCCAAGATGTTTTTGGATTAGGTGGGATTTGGGATTTTGCGGAATTTGAGAGCAAAGCAAATGATTACTGTGCAAAAGAATGGGATAATATTGTGAATAATTATCAAAAAGGAAAAGTTTGGAACAAAAATGTAGATTTAACAAGATTAGAAATGCAATGTTTCAAAGCAGCATGGTTAGTCAATGTATTGCATGAAGGTATCGGAGTTCCAAGGATGATCGATGATGATCCGGGCAATCCTGATAACAAATTAATAGATAAAGTGAGGAAAGCTCCACATTTTCAAAGTATTAATAATATCAATGACGTGCAGGTCAGTTGGACTCTTGGGAAAATGGTTATGGAAGCGTCAAGTACCATTCCCTTATTATGGGAACCGCATCCACATCCTCCACCGCAGCCCCAAGGTCATGGTTTACTTGGATATTATAATTATTTAGTTGAATGGATGATCGGAATTTTAATCTTATTAATTTTATTGATTTTTATTTGGTTTACATGTTTGCGCAAATATGGACTTGGAAAAAGGAGGAGGATAAGTATTGGATTTTTATATTCATGTTTTCTTTCTTCGGTTCGAAAAGGGGCGAGAGATGGTGGACCGGATTATGGGAAATTGGAAGGAGGACAATTTCCTTCTACAGGTTTTTCCTCTTGGAATAACCGAGTTATAGGTTATTTTAGATGGAAATTTCTTCAATTATCTTCGCCATTTCGAAAATTTTTCACTAAAAAGGGAGAAAATTCAGGAGAAGTAGTACCAGTAACATTAGTACCAGGAGACGAAGAAGAAATGGTTCAACTTCGACAATCATCATCTATTGACGTTACTTCGAATTCAGCAATTACGATTACTGAAACACCTGCCTCACCTACGTTAGAGATAGGGCAATCGCCTACAGAACAAACATCTCAATTTCCATCTTATTTCCATTCAACTCGGTATTTATCAAAAAAACGTTTTAGTGGAGATAGTGTAATGCCTAATGAAGGTATTAATAAAGGATTTTCGACTCCAGTTAATTTATCATTAACTGGATTACAGTCAAGGAATAGTAGCTTAACAAATCTTGGGAAATTTAAGGATCGTTCAGGAGTAAATACTAGTAGTATCAGCTTAGGAGGACAATCAGGTTCAAATAATGGAGGATATCTTAATGATTCTGGAATGTCTTTATCAAATAATATTAGTCCGAATTATCCTTTAGGACGTGGGTCAAAGTCAACCACCAATTTAGGATGGATGGGGGATGAACATGAAGATGGAGGAGTTGTTGAATATGAAGCCACAGAATTGAAAAATCCTCCAACTTCGGCAGAACAAACAAGTTATTCGACATCATCTACGAAATCATTTAGTTTTCCAATGTCAACATCATCACCTAGAAATTCTCTGTTACCTACGATTAATACTAATTTAGGCCATAATAGTAATAATTCTACTGATATGTCATCAGCGTCAAGTGTCGTAACAGGTATGATAGGTTTAAGTAGGCCAAATAGTCGAGCAGGAAGAAATTTAAGCATAGACAAAACTAATAGATTATCTGGTTCGAACTTTGAATGAAATCATTCAATCAAAGAAGGATTTTTTTATTTATAGCTTTTCTTTTACACTAATATTTAATTATATCTTGGTTCTATTTTATTTTTAGAGAATCTATGTTCATTATATTATTATATGATTGATTGATTATTGTGAATATGATATTAAATTATATCGAGAAAAAATTTTCTTTACCCTTTAAAACAAAAGTGAGGATTTTTAGTATAATTGTTTTAATGGTAGTAATATCAAATTGTTAATAGTAGTAGGTTTTGGTTGAGTAATCCAAAGTTAAAAAAAAACTATACTATACTTGCTTGTGTTAATTGTAATTTAGCAAAATACATACGGTATGAAAGTATTAAATAATAATTGTCATTATTTGTAATTTTGATTGGTAATGTACGCCCTCTTAAGAAATTTCGAATGAATAAAAGTTGACAAGACTTCATTAGAAAAACAGTTTCGACTTAACTCTGAAATTCAAATTTAAAATTGATTTTTATCAAATATGTAATATTTTTATAATATGAATGATTATAATTAATATATTGCTAAAAGTATATGCTTGGCTTGATATATAGCAGCCACAGCATCACCCAGAAAAAAAATGGTAGCCGGATGTCACATATACCTATTTGGGTGACATATAATTGTGACAATTAGCATTTTTCTCGCAAAATAATTTCTCTGAATACTTAGTAAATTGAAGAACGGCTGGGATGTGACGCGATGTGACACATTTGCTAACCCCTTAACTGATCCTAATTCTATACT